GCCAAACTGATGGACAGTTTGTTGGCGATAATGGCGCTCTTATTCTAACAATAATTTTATACTTATTTTTTTATTAAATATGACTATTTTATATGTTAAGTAGTAACTTATGCATACATTTTTATTATTAGTAACTTTATTTATATAAGTATTATAGTGACTTATATATTAATATTTTATTTATTTATAACAAGTAATGTTTCAGCCCCTTTTTTACTTTACTTTGCCTATTTCTCTGTGCCTTAATAAATATATTTTGTTACACAGAATTGGTGTTAAATATCGTCTGGTTCTCTTACCATAAAAATTCCTAATGGGTGGTATTACAAGTTACCCTGTTCAGTCTGTCTGAATGTAATCTAAACTAAACTGAAACTTTATATAATTTATAGGTTATATATTGCAGGTTCTCGCATCCGTGTACTATTGAACGAAAGTGTCTGTACCCGAATAACTATACTAAAATATACCTCAATGATTTTAGTTAAAGTTTCGTCTATTCAGTAAATAGAGAGCCGTCCGTTATAACTAAATTAGTATAATTAAATCGGGAACGTTGATTAGCGTCAGTTGCTTTGCTTGAGCAGTTGTCACCCATTTATTAATATTTCTCGGAATTTCATCTTCACAGGCCTATAATAACGAACCGGACGACCTATAGTAAGGAATATCATATATATATGTTAGAGAAGGGCAGTCAAGTATGAGGTTCCAATTACAGACTAATTCTAATTTCACAAATACAACAAAAAAATCTGTCTTTGATTATATTATCGTTTTAGACAAATGTTTATTTCCCTTGAAACTTTGACTTATTGCCTTAAGATTGCAACTTTGGGTATTTAGATATATGATAGACCGAAACGGGCTTTCTTCTGACGCATTGCTTATAATGGGACGTTGGTTCGATTCCCACAATGTCGAAGTGTCTGTACATCATTGTTATAATATTTATAGAGAGAATCTTGGATATTCTATTGTCTGGTTTAAATTAGCACTAGTAATATTAAGATTTCGTTCATTAATGCAAGGACCCTAAAGAGTGAGTCTTCGTTTTGATTTTTCAAAATATAAGGGTTATTATTATTATATTATTGAGCCTATAGAAAGTAATCAAATACAAAAATTTGGGTTAACTGCATGTAAAAAAATTATATCCGTCCGGTTTTAATCCACGGACATAAATCAGTGGTCAAGCGTTACTCATTACAACATAAGATTAGATCAAAACCTTAATGGATAGTTTTAATTGCTGCCGGCTTCGTTATATTTATAGCGAGCTAATTTGAGAAGTGAGTTAGAACTACTAGTCTTTCTCACCATCTTAAGAATATAAAAAAAATGTCGTGTTTAATTTTAAAATACTATGACTAAAAAATAGCTCCATTGGCTAATTTTCAAATGTTAAAATAGCTACCTGCATTTGTTAAAGCGCCATCTAGGTTAGTAAATTTGCATTACCTATTTGATATTTTCAACCAGTTCGTTTTCCATTCCCGGCTGTTAATAACTACTTAATACTACGAGTGTGTTTGCGTCACGTGGGTTCCCCTGTGTAAATCTGCTCCGAATTTTTGACCCGACCATCAATCTTTAAATGTGCCTTTGTCTGTAATCTTTGCTAGTTATTAGATTTGCCTGACGTTACTAATATATTATATTAGTAACGTCAGGCTGTAATTAAAGTAAATTGTAAATTAGTCAACTAGTGTATTTTGGGTTTTAAACCGTTAAAAGTATTTTATTTAAAATAGTAGTCAATGTTATACCAGGCCTTTGAGATTGTGCCCATTTATTTTTAAAATACGTTCGTATACAATGCTTGGGTTTAGGTTTAGTTTTTCTAAAGGCAGGGAAAACATATTGCAAATTAAACTCGCTGATAAAAGGAGTAGCGGCGAGTTTTTTGCTAGTTCTTCTCGTTCGCTATACCTTCGCCCTTAGTGTTTTTTAGTTTTACTTACGAAATTATCATATTTCATTCATCTCCTACAATAAAATCTATTCTCTACGTATTCACTTATGTTTCTTAAACAAAGTAAGTAAATGTTTTTCGACCTTATCTTTAACACAGCACAAGACTCATAACGTAAGCGGTTTCCACTCAATCGATTTCAGTAAATGAACAAGCGTTTGTTCTTGAAAAATAAGATAAAAACCCCTTTTCATAAATGCGTTCAGTTAATGAGATGGCTGATATAAACGGATATTGACTTTTTTCGCAATTTAATATTCAAGTCGAAGAATTGTTGCGGTGGAGTTAGCGTACAAAAGAGTTTGTCTGTTCGTGACTAAGAAATGTTAATAGAAAAACTTCGTGAGGCGCTATTACTATCAAACGTTGGTTTTAATACAACTTCTATCGCAATTTTGATTTTACCTCAATTTGTAATATAACGCTTATCTTTTCTAGTCTACGTTTTTCTATTGTTGTTGTCCTATTTATAAATGTGCAGACAAAGTTTTTGAGCATTTGTTAAACCTACTTAGTTTAAATAAAACACTTTAACGATTTAAAACGCGATATATTAGTTAAACTTATTTGGAAATGATTTTTAACTTCGGCCCGGCGTTTCGCATGCTTTGCAGCAGTCGTGGTCACGGGGAGACTAAAGATGGAGGATGTCTCTGACGTCAAAGTAAAGAAAGGACCCGGCCAGTTTCGCCAAATACCAACTTCGACGGAACAGATGGCGCTAGCGTAGCAATTTTTTACTTTGACGTTAGAGACATCCTCCATCTTTAGTCTTCTCGTGACCACGGCTGCTACAAAGCATCCGAAACGTCGGGCCGAAGGTGAAAATCATTTCCAAATAAGTTCAACTAATATATCGTGTTTTAAACCGTTAGTGTTTTATTTAAATGTGTACTACTTGCGTAAACGATAAGTATTCAGCTATAAATTTTATATTACATTTAAATTATTACAACTTATTAGACTTCATTTCCAAGAATTCTAACAGTGTGTCTTAAAAATTAAGGAACATTTTTGCATAAGATTTTTCCAATAGTTGTCTCTTTTATTTTAGACCTAAAAATCTTAAATTTATTATCATCAAACAATAGGACTTACCTAGAAAAACCTAGAAAAACTCGAAGAGTAAACGAATTTGCATTGTCTTAAAGACTTGTTCCAACAAACCATTGTTAGTACATTTAAGTACTTTGAATGGATTCCCAATAACATTGTTACGTAAGTTTTATCTCGATTTAGTAGACCGGTTTATTTTAATCGAATGATGTAAAAGCGCAAACAATGGCCGTTATAGGCCCTTTGTTTCAGACAGTCTTCTCTAATTTCGTTAACTGCTCTCAAAACTCCAACTATGAATGGGATTCTACTCATCTTATGTATAGATAAGATTCATTAATTGAGGATATCAAATTTTGCTACATTTTACCGGGAATACTTTTGGAACTAAATTCCAGTGAAGCTGTCTTTTTGTAATGAAACAGAACTTCTGGCAACAAGTTGGTGTTTAGTAATTACAATCTATTTGGTCTGAAAAAAGTTACCGTCCCGTTGCTTTAACCATTTGAGCTACGATCGTACCTACCTACAGTCAGGACGATGAATTCTATTTTCTTCAACCCATAGACAAATGCACCTTTCGCGCATCATAAAAAATAGATGAAATTTCCCTCCTTTCTTTTATCTATCTATACTTATATATAAAGCTGAAGAGTGGAAATCGAAAAATTCTGTAGGCTATATCCTACATGTCTTTACAGATTAACTTGCAAGAACGACAGGATGTTAACGATTTCGTGGGTAACAGGTTAAATTTATAAAGATGAAGAGGTATGCAAAAACAAATTTGATACCCAAAATAACTATTCTACGCAGCCGAAGACGGCGGTTAAAGCTAGTGTAACATAAATTTACGACAGAATAATAATTCACTGTTTAAAAATGTAACGTGAGATTTGCAAACGGAATCATGATATAAACATAGACATTTGAAAAAAAACACTTTAACGGTTTAAAACGCGATATATTAGTTAAACTTGTTTGAAAATGATTTTTAACTTCGGCCCGACGTCTCCCCGTGACCACGGCTGCTGCAAAGCATCCGAAACGTCGGGCCGAAGTTAAAAATCATTTTCAAATAAGTTTAACTAATATATCGCGTTCTAAACCGTTAAAGTGTTTTATTTAAATGTGTGCTACTCGCGTAAACTATAGACAGTATCAAACATAGGTACTCAAACATCGAGCACAGATAGAAAATGTTTACTTAGATGCTCGATTAAGTATAAAAGTTAGGAGTCATGTGAGAAAGTTGGAAACAACGAACACTGTCCCATATTTTCTGCCGTTTAGAAGTGATGTATCGTGTATTAAATAATGTCTGTAGTTTACGCGATTAGTACACATTTAAATAAAACACTTTAACGGGTTAAAACCCGATATACATATATATATTACTACGGCCCGACGTTTCGTAGTTAGCCATAGTTTAAAAATTATTTTGAAACAAGTTTAATTAAAATATATCGATCGCTTTTTAAACCGTTTTATTGAAATGTATCGTGTATTTTTTTAAGTCGGATACTCCATTTCCCCTACAAATCGCGGCCATTTCAACGTTTATTGCAATGTATGGCTAATAAGGTCGTGGGTTCGATCCCCGCCCGGTCCAACATTATTCAAATAAATTAATAAATCTTCCTGAAATAGGTTGGACATTGTCTGGATATCTAGATATTAAATGGGTGGGAGGCATATCGAAATTCCGTCCTAGTCACCAACCATCATCCACAGATGAAGAAGCCGTGAAGTTTAATCGCGTTTTGATTTAGGGTTTAATTTTATTTCTGAATATCCAAAACAGGTTGACAAAACCAACGTACATCGACAACACATCTTGTTTTGATGTTATGTGGTTATGGGGTTCTTGGTGGTAGGTAAAATACTCACCTACCACCAAATGAATTCCATGCTTGAATGTCCTGTGTCATAAAAAAGACTGGAGCTATACGATGGTCGTAAGACATACCTGATAAAAAAATGACTCGCGAACGGTACACACCTGAAAACAAAGAAATGATAATTAAAATCGCACCTTTACCAAGTATCATGCTCCTACGAATTTACCAACATCGTGTACAACTTGAGATATCGTACGATTTATGAGTACATCGCTTCCAACTTGTAGATCTTGTGTCTAGGGGATAAGGTCGAGAGTGGTGCGCACTGGGTATCAGAATTCAGTGCGGCAGTAACGCTGTTGGCTGCCGACACCGCTCGTTGTCACCAAAAGACAAATGGTGTACTGTCTCTATATACATTACACAACTTGACAAGATAATTCCCAGCTTTGGGACGAATCGATGTCTGTTGTGTTAAGATTTCGCAAATCTTTCTAATTCCGAGATCAATTAGAGTCAGGAGTAAACAACCTTTTTAGCTAATAGCGTATCAGTTCTAATTTAAAAAGCTGAAAAGTTTGTTTGAACGCGCTAATCTCAGAAAATACTAGTTCGAATTGAAAAGCGATTTTTATTGTTTAAGCATTTAATAGGAAATGCTTCAAGCTATAGATACCATAACGCAACCACTAGGAGCGAAGGAACAATGGGAAACGGGGAAAAATCTTTCCGTTGCGCGAGCGCTTTGAAAACGGTTTAAGATATCAAAAAAAAAACGAGAAAAATGTCCGCAACAATATTTTGAGATTAACTTACAAGAACGACAAAATTGAGGTTTGCAATTTTGATGCCTAAAATAACTACGTCAGGCGTGCGAAGTCGCTGGCACGGTAAGTTCATTCATTCACTTCCAAATATATTAGCTGTGCGTTTTTTAGAATATCTGTATGTATGTAAAAATATTCTGCATATAAAATTTAGACCTATTGAGATTAAAATCGGACTGAGCTCGAACATACGAACACAGCAGCGCTCTGCTGCTCTACTAAATCAGATACCTAATCTGGCTCAAATAAATCATTTTTTTAACGTTAATAGATATTAATGTATTTAAAACTATCAGGGCCAAGAAACCAATTTTAAAAGTACATCATGTTTTATGACCTAAAGTCGCGTTGATAATCTCTGATGGATGAGTTATTAACCTCTGGCTACTGCTATAATTGACTTCAAATGAGTCCTGCCCATATGCAGCACTGCTTAATAGCCTCTATTTCCGATACTAATGAAGATGTTATTATTTACAGTTTATCTCTCACTTACACGGTATGCGGGCGATAGCTTTTTATGGTATCCAATACGGAAAGATTTTGATTATAAATAACCTTCGATATATATGTCTGTTTGGCTTTCCTCTGGGACATTGGGCACACATTTGTGTGTCTGTTTCGCCGACCGACTTTATTCGTTAATAAGATTTAGTGCTATGTCCGGTCAAAATATTTTATTCCTTCATCGGTACGTAGCTAAGACCTCGCGAGCTTATGGCTGCAAAACATAGACACAGATCTTGAAAAGACTCATTAATATTTACTTCACTCTATTTTAATAATGCTATAATAAAAGTTTTTAGCCATAATAAAAAATAACATAAGTCTACATTACAGTTTCTAGTAATAACAAAAATACGTATGAACATTGAAGTGTTTAGACATAGTTATCGCGGATGTGTTAGAGCCGGGTAAAAGATTAAATTTGCTCTTAGAGACTAGGAGTAGGACTAGACAAGGGACGCTATGGGCTGTAGGTCTTTTAATTATATTGTTATTATTTATGTAGATAGAATTAATTAATTCAGTAACTTGGTTGTATTATACGTCGGACACATAATGATAGACCATGTATTATGTACTAGCTGAGTTAGGCAACTTCGTACGCGTAGTATAATTATTTTGGATACCTATCAATTTTTGTTTTTGCAAACCAGCTGTTCAGCTCTATAAATTTGAGCTGTTTTCCAAAGATAGACATATATCGTCGCGGACATTTTTTAAAAACATATAAAGAGAAATAATTCTTTCATACATATTTTTGGATCTCTTGAACCGTTTTCGCAGCGTACGCAAATGGGAACCCACAAGACGACATTTCGACATTTCCCGCTGCGCTCCTATTAGTCATATATTTTATAGCCTATAGCCTTCCTCAACAAATGTTCTAAGTAACACAAAAATATTTTTTGAATTCGAACCATTACTTCCAGAGATTAGCGCGTTCTAACAAAGAAACAAACTCTTCAGCTTTATATATTAGTATAGATATAGCTATTTCCCCCAAAATAACTGTGACTTACTTTATAAATCAATACTAAAAACATTTTTTACCTAAAATTCGAACTTCTGAAATTGCAAACCCACCATTGTGAATTGCAAATTTTTATTCCAATCATTTCCTATTATTATTTTTCGAGTCGAGATGGAAGTATTCGTTGTTGAAAACAATATCATTGTAACAGCTCTCGAAGAATCCTCTTGTTAATATTGTTGTTTGATTAATTAATATTGAAAGGACAAAGTAAGTGTTAAGTGTGTGTTAAGAAACAAAACAAGATTATATTTTTTTACATAGATGATATAACACTTAAATTAGTATGCACCACAAATACATATATAATAGACAAGTGTTTGTACAAATATACACATAGAATATGTTATATTTATACATGGTAAACACAACATGAGGAATGTCTCAATATACACGAGAATGTGTCACTAATATGCTAATCTATCCATTTAGGTGTATATCGCACGGTTTTAATCCCATAAGATTGGTGGTAACTGAATTAATAACTAAATTCTGTACGGTACGGTTTTGCAACTACCTGGTTAGACCCGGAAAGTTTGGAGGGCTTATATAACTTTAATATTTACATCTGTACTAAGATAAGTATACCAATACGTACGTATTATATATATAATATAATATATAAGCGTCATGCCTATACTAATATAGAAAGCTGAAGAGTTTGTTTGTTTGAACGCGTTAATCTTCGAAAAGAAAAATTATTTTTGTGTTGGTTGGAGCATTTATTGAGGAAGGCTGTAAGCTACATCGCGCTGTGACTAATAGAAGCAAAAAAATCGCGAGAAATGTAAAAAGAACGGAGAATATTATTCATCTCTGTGGGTTTCCGATGCGTACGCTGCGAAAACGTTTCAAAATAACCAAAAACTATGTATGTTATGTATTCCTCTTTATATGATGTAAAAATGGGACAGTATATGTCTATATTAAAAGAGATATTAGAGAGATATTTAAAGAGTCGATTCCTCTAAGTAAACAAAAAAGAGGTGCACGTATCAATAAGTTGAAAAAAAATCTACGATGAGAGATGTAGAGCAACGGAACGCTGACGATGCCGGTCCAAGTCCTGTCCGAGTCGAAATTTTTTTTCAATGTATTTTCGATTTTTAATAATAATAATAATAACTGGTTGTGGTTCGAATAGAAATCGTCTTAGATTGAAGGTTTATTGAGAATATGGTTTTACAGCTTACTAACTTAAAATTCTTTATATTATACAATCTTTCCTAATATTGTAAAGCTGAACGGTTTGTTTGTTTGTTTAAACGCGCTTCTCTAAGGAACTACAGGTTCAAATTAAAAAAAATAGTTTTGTGTTTTAGAGCAATTATTGAGAAAGGCTATCAAACATCACGCTTCGACTGCAATAGCAGCGGAGAAACAGTGGGAGTGTGGAAAAAACGAGGAAAATTATTCAACTTTGAGAGTTTCCGTAGCGTGGGCTGCGGAAACGGCTCAAGATATCCAAAATATACGTATCAAAGAATGATACCTCTTTAAATGATCTAAAAAAAATGTCCATGACACTACATCTCTTAAGATTAACTTGCAAGACGATGGGACGCGACCGATGTCGTGAGTAACTATTATATTTCGCGTGTTAGTCCGTTAAAATGTTTTTTATTTCATTTATTATTCGCATTGTAAACTGTATATCGGTAATGGTGTATATGTGTAAATTTAAAAAAAGTTATTTATCTAACAAAATTTCCATTAAAACCCAGCTGTATCACGCATTCGTTTCGCAAAGTACAACATTAAAACACCGCCTATAAAAGCTAATAGATTTCACATACATGCGGTTTTTCGATACATTTACAGTTAATGGGTCACAACTCACAACTGATACATGACAGTAACCATTACTGTAGGGTCAGTAGCGCCGTTGGCTGCGGTTTGGGTCGTGTTACTAAAACGAAATACCACGAGAGTGTTATGAAGGAATTGAAATTCATTATAGAATTCCTTTACATCCATGTTTCGTTTTTACCATTCAAAAAGATAACCCAAAAAAAATGCCCCAGACAAATAAGCGTCGGGTCATAGTTTTAAACTCATATATTCGCATTTTTATTTGAAACATTAGAAGCTCAATTCATACTGTACCATTTGGGTACACTATCCCGAAGTTTTAGTTACCTTAATTAAATATGGATTTTGGATTTTTTTTTATTTGTGATACGATTTTTTTTATGCTAGCATGTGTACAGGTCGAAAATATATATTAACGTTTTGTACTTTTATTAAACTGTTTTTTCTTTGCGATTTAATCAGTTAAAATTTGTTTTATTGCGTGCGTGTTTTATGTTATGTGTGATTATATAATATTAAGTAGGTTAGGCTAGTAAGCTGTAAAGCATATTCGCATTAAACCTTCAATCTAGGAAGTAAAAGTTATACGGATTCCAGGATTACGCTTCCGTCGTGTGCTCCACTTTAATCAATGTCTCCAATTTCCTGCAGACGGGGTGTAGATAGCAACACCTAGTAAGGCTTCTGCAACTTAATAGACGTGTATTTGCTGGAAACTGACTTTACACCTGTCTGTTGGAGCGCTTTAAGCTTGCAATCAGATGAATTCGACAGAACTACACACTGTACGTGTAAAGGTGTATCCGGCTATGAAATGTTTTAGAGGAAACGTTTTTAACTGTTTAAAACGCGAAATATGTTAACCAACTTTTAAATTATTTTTTTAAATTATTTACCAAGGCCCGACTTTGGGCCGTAAAAGATAATTAATTCGTTTTAAATGTAGTCACGTAAATTACAGACAATATTCAGGATGTTAATTCTTTAGTAATACAGTTAAAAAAACAGTTCTTTTTTTTAATTACAGAATATAAAATTTACAAAAAAAATCATATTTGTAAACAGGTTTTACTTTTGAGAAATCAAGGAATTTTCAAAAATTCCTGCCTGTTTACTAACTTTACAGTGTCTGCCAAACTTGCTTAGCACAGCCGAAAAACTATCTATAATTGTAATCGTATACTTTTAATGTTTACGAAGATTAAATTATTGATGTATCATTTCGATGAGCCCGATAAGCGATTCCAGATGAGCCTAAACAAATAAAGTTAGGGCAAACGGGAGTTGAACTTGCGGTCAAGGGTTCCGTACATTGAGGTTGTACGTCCTTTGACCTTTCGTCGTTTATTTTGTACTTATTTTTTATTCACGTGCCCTCGCCACACATAGTAAAGCGCATGTAATCGAAAGCTTACCATTAATATATTAAACTGAAAACGAATGCTTATAAACTTTATATGATTCCATTATTTTAATATTATTTACCGACTTATACGAAAATGCTTATTTTACAGTTTTTTCTGACATGGGGAGAGACTTATATGTGTGTCCGTTTCACTGATTGGTTTTTTCATAGATGGGCAGTTGATGAGACTTCTGTTCCATGTTTCGGAAACAATCTACTATTTCCCGGGGTTTCGAATCCAGGACCTCAAGCACTTATATAAAGGATTCTTAATTTTCTTATTAACAAAAAAAGGCTTTATATTTGTTTAATATCGATAAAAATAATATAATTTAAACAGTTGTCTTATATTATAAACTAAATCCAATTGTTTCAGACTATATAATTTCAATCATTCAATTTTCATTTAAGTAAGTCAGGTCATGACAAGTAGAGACATTTGTCGATGGTTTTATTTATTAACGCAACCCTAATTTGAGCACATCTCTAAATGGTATGAAAGCGAAGGGAAGGCTGTGGGCGCCGATTTCTTTCGTAAATAAACCATTGTTTGAATAATATTGCCGTCAAATGACTTTTACTTGTGGCGTTTATCAATATTTTGACATTTTACATTCTTCTAGTCATATTTTGTTTATGTTGATAGAGTTTTAAACTTCGAAAGGCGAAAGAAATGCATGAAGGAATGTCTAAGGAGTCTTTATGTTTTATATATTTAGGTTTAATAAATAGAATATTAATAAATACCTATTTATACATTTTTTTAATTTCTTTTTTCATTCATTTTTTTAAAACATATAATTTAAAATTGAAAAGCGCACGCAACACACAAAAACGCAACAGCACGGAACGCTGACGATGACGGTTTAAGTCCTGCCCGAATCGATTTTTTTTTCAATTTTCGATTTTTCAATTAAACTGCGTTTATGTTAAAAAGTAGTAAATAGTGCCAAGATACTAACAACGATACAATGCAGCGGTGAATATATAACTAAAAATAATAAAAAATATGTTTGTTGTTCTAGGTCGTCTTAAGTTCTAAGAAACAGTATGTTTTCGGTTCCTCTACGTCTCTGCATGTAGCTTATTAGCACAAGAGGTATCAACAGATTGAAAAACGTTGACGTGTAGGACTCGGTAGTTTAATTGATTAGAGCACGGAACGCCGGTGATACCAGTTCAAATCCTGCCCGTGTGGTAAAATTGTTTTCAATCTAAAATCGTTTTTTAAGTTAATTTGAGGTAAATGAAATATCTATTGCAAATGTAGAACAAAATCTGCTAGTTTAAGTACTTTATGTTGGATACTGTCTATAGTTTACGCGACTAGTACCTACACATTTAAATAAAACACTCTAACGGTTTAAAACGCGATATATTAGTGTGCCCGTGACTGCAAAGCATCCGAAACGTCGGGCCGAAGTTAAAAATCATTTTCAAAAAAGTTTAACTAATATATCGCGTTTTAAACCGTTAGAGTGTTTTATTTAAATACTTTATGTTGTCTCAAAATCTCAAAGCAAAGTCATAATACAATAATTGTGTTCGAAATATAGAGAATCACAAAAAATCTACATCATTACCGACGCGGCATTGTGTTTCCTCTCGGGCATAGACCGCGAAGTAAATATTTTCTATTGCTTTATTCGGAATTCTTTGATACTCCAATAACGGAGGGTAACTGAACTGAAATGTTTACAAAATAAGGAAGCTCACTATTGCGCTTCAAGAAAATATAAGGGCGCTTTATTTGTATCTTAAGACGTTTTCTTGTGCCTCAACAGAACGACAATTGTTTTCCTTCAGATTGAAGTAATATTTTAATGGCGATATTACCCTACTTTTAAATTTATTCTGTGTGTTCTGTCATTCTTGCTGGGATCTTTGGCGTGATGGCAGCAATCTTTCAAATCAATTTATAATCTTTCTCAAACGGGCCAACATAATTTCGTCTTAAAATCTGGATATTGAATGGTTGGTAGGAATATGGATATTCTGTCCAGGTCACGAACCACTGTCCACTGATAAAAATCCATCATCAATCGCGTTTTAGTTTCAGTCCGTGGATTCCGATACAAAGCCAAATTAGGTGGAACTCGCATAAAATTAAATGTCATATGGCTGGGGTATTTTACAATAAACCTTTAGTATCAAAATAATATAAGTAACAAAATAAATAAAACATCAATAGAATACTGTTTATAGTTTACGCGATATATTAGTTAAACTTATTTGGAAATGATTTTTAACTTCGGCCCGACGTTTCGGATGCTTTGCAGCAGCCGTGGTCGCGGGGAGACTAAAGATGGAGGATGTCTTCTGACGTCAGAGAGTTTAACTAATATATCGCGTTTTAAACCGTTAAAGTGTTTTATGTAAAAGAGCACCAAGGTCCTTGCTGAACTCGCAAGCAGGTGGTAAACGAAAGCCCGGGAGAGCGAGGCTCCGCTAGTGGGATGGAGTCGCTAAGGTCCTGGAAATCTTGGGCGTCCAAAACTGGGAGCAGGAAGCACGAGACAGATCGGAAACGACTAGAGGAGGCTAGGGCCCACGAGGGGCTGTATAGCCACTGATGATGACTAAGTACAAACATGTATGTGGTATGTGTGCATTCAGTCTAGTTTTTTCAGAAAATGGTATGAAAACTGCTGATATAAGAAAATGCATGACGAAACTTTTCTTTATTTTAAAGAGTACTTTATTAACTCTTTTTAGTTTTAAACTCAGTCTGTAAACGTCTATTTCCCAATCGAAACAATATAAACAACCTCGTCTCACGGAGTAAGCGAAACAACGTTTCGAAACGAACACAAGGCTTTGTTTAAGTGAGACAAAAAGAGAATCTCTTTTGATAAAATGATGTAATTACATCGTCTTTTTGCGGATAGATACGCCATTAAGATTCAATCTTATTAGAGCTGAAAGCTTTTAAAAGGGATTTCTATGACTTTATTTTCCTTGGCTAAAACTCTCCGAAAATATACTCCCGTGACCACAGCTGCTGCAAAGCATCCCAAACGTCGGGCCGCAGTTAAAATAAATTTTCAAAAAAGTTTAACTAATATATATCGCGTTTTAAACTGTTGAAGTGTTTTATTTAAAACTATTTCTCTCTCTTGGTTACAAATACTAACAGCTAAGCTTTTATAGTGGGGCTGATGTTTTCTTGCGTTCTTCCTCCATTGCTGTTCTGATGTCAACTTGCTTTCGTATTCCTAAACCGACTTATTTATAAATAAAGTCAAATGGTTACTTAGGTAATATTTTTTTATTATATCTTTGTTAGTTTGTAGTTGAACTTTATTAGCATTTGTATATTTTGATCAACTGTTTCAACTGTTTCTACGCCCCTAGTAGTCGCAGTCTGATGTTTGCCTAAAGCCTCTCTTAATAAATTCTCCCAACAACACAAAAATATTCTTTCAATTCAAACTAGTACTTCCTGAGATTAGCGCCTTCAAACAAACAAAGAAATAAACTCTTCAGTTTTATAATATCAGTATTAATATAACAGATTAAACAAACACGCTGCTTGAAATTAATTACCGTTACGAAAGTAAAAAGAATAGCGAAAGTCTTACCGTCTTAAGGCCAATAAAACGCGCTGAAATAACTCGAAGCGATAAAAAGAAGTTTGCTTTAAAAATTTTCAAGTAATTGCACTGTCTAGTGCGGACAGGAACTAAACCAATTGCAGACTGCGGTGTTATTCTGTTATTGTTAAAGTTCTGCAGGCTACGGTCTCCTATAGACGCCAGGT